ACGACACACACACGACGAGAGAGACAACACACACACACACACACTATACACACACACATATATATATATATATATATATATATATATATATATATATATATACATACATGCATATATATTACACAGCGAGCGCAAGTTTAATACCTACCGCAGATCCGCTTCTCGATCTAGCTGGATCCTGCCTCGTTTTCGGCTTCTTCATCGGTGGAGGTGAAGTCGAGTAACGTTCGGGGTCTGAGTCCTGCTGTTTAGAATATGAAACAAGGAATTAAACAGAAAACACTTCTCTTGTTTAACTTCTAATCGGTTATAAATTTTAAACTTCTATCTACAGTAGCCTATTATATCCAAATTGCATGGACAGATACAGTTGTATATTTTCTCCTCCTGATATACTTTGCATATAGTTAGCCGGTATGAATCCTCTCACGACTCAAAATCCAACAGCCCAGACCACCCAAGGTCATATCTCAGTGAAAATAGCTTCATATGCACTAAATTTTTCTTATGTACATCTGTACTATTACGTATGATCTAGCGTCGCTCGCATTGCCGAATGCACCATTCCGTCCCATTTCATATTCCACAACCAACTTTAACATTTTCGGGAACTTACCTGAGCATCCATTGCTTCTCCCTTCAATTTCTCCACAGGTTTAGCTATACCCTGATCTCGCGCACTATCAAACGCATCATTCTGCCTGTGCTGAGCGGTGTTAGCCAGACTGCTGTTGTACCCCACAGGTTCGCTCAACGCAGTTGCTTCGGGCGGCAATAGAGGTCCCGGAAGCGGGGATTGATTGCGCTTTCTACCCATGCCAACAGGCTTGGTAATCGAGCCTTTGCCCATACCTGTGATTTTATGACTCTGTGTGTGCGTGTACTCTAGTGAATGTACACTTGCTTGGACAGGCTGTTTGTCTCCTGCCTCAGCAGTAGTGCCAACTACGTCCTCACCGTCATTGTCCTGAATCGTGCGCTGACCAGACTGGGCAAGTGGACGCGTTAGCACCCTGGGACTCACTTCGGCATTCGCCCGGAGGGCCGGCAAGGGCTTGCCCATAGGCATATCGACATCGTCCTCACTTCCCTGGCTACCTATCTTCTCTTTTCCCGTATCTTCATCTCCATCTCCGTCGACACTACCAGTGGCGCTGTTGTGTGCACTGTTACTGCCAGTATCGTTCCCATCGCTTTCGTAGTTGCCTATGGTGGCTAGTACAGTCGAGGTGGTGTCGACCTGGTTGGCGGTACCCACAGGTAGTTCACTGCTTCCCACAGTCGGAATATCTGGCGTAGGACCGATGATCTGCTCAAAAAAACAAAAAACAAAACAAAAATCGGGTTAAAATTGTTAAGTAAGAGCGTGGCGGGATTCCAAGTTTTAAAGTTAGTGGGTCCGGAAGTGCACTGCTTCCCACAGTGAGCATATTTGTCCGTGTAGTACCGAGGATCTGCACACGAATATTGAACCAAGGTACACTTGATAAGTATGGGCACTGCAGTAGCGGGCATACAAGCACCATAGCTTCGAACGAGTATTGTTATAGGCAGGTTCGGAAATGTACTGCTTCACGCGGTGGGGATATTTGAACGACACTGGATCTACACAAGTTCATAGAAACAATCTAGTGAGTATTCAATTGTAGCACCCGAACTACGGATAATATCGTACAGAGCACGTTTTGAAGAAAGTTGGTTCGGGAGTGCACATATTTTTGGCACGGTTGGGACCGAAAATTTGGACAAGATTGTTGAAATGGTCTCCACAAAGGCGCTGAAACTCAGATCAACATATCATTCCAGTCTAAGTGGATTCACAACCTTGAACGTCCATCTGTATTCACCTTTACATATTTTATGCGTAGGCAAATACATATGACAGGTCACTGATCTGAAATTTTGTGTACACACAGTTGGGGTTTCATAGACCGGTTGTATTGGCTATGTGATCTTCCTTACCCTCTTAACAGGTTGTGGTGGAGATGTATCAGCATTCACATCTCCTGGCGCTGGTAGTTCAGGTGCGGCTTCTGCAAAGGAGGGTGTTCCGGGAATTAGGGGAGGTCATTCATTATTCATCGATCGAGAATAGCTATACGAAGATGCATGCCTACGTCAAGAGGCTTCAGATGTATTCGTTCATACAAAGTTTAATTAGCATGTACACACGTATAATACATACATATTACTGCGTATGACCGTTTGTTGATGCTTAAAAATCACAACAATACGACATCTGGATACCGAATTTGACAGCGTAAAGTCATTGCAGAAGAATGTGTTTGTGATTCTCAGTATGTCTAGAGCTACTTCGGATCTCAAACGAAGCAACTGGTGCAAATCAAGGAGTGATAGTAGGTCCTCAAACAGTCAGACATCAGCAAATATACAACAACAAACCATTTACTAGTATACCCTTGTATTTATGGATTCATTGAAAGAGATACTTCGATTCATACAGATACAAGCAACTAAGAAAGCACCTTCTAGACCATTCCACCTTTAGAAACGTAATTGATTGTAGAAAACAAGCGCCCAAACAAGCATGTGGCCTATAGCCCCGTACATACATTGCCAGCACCGGCCGACCATTTGCGCAAACAAGCATCTACCTACAAGAATACGTGCATATATACACAGCACATACAGAAGCTCGGAATGGGTTTCTTATATATCACTGTTCTTGAACATTAAACAAGGTAGTTATGCATGACTGTGATTGTATATGTTGAATTTTCATGTGCCATACAAACAAACACACCTTGAACCGGAGATTTGACTGGCTTTCCGTCCCTATTCTGCTGGAGCTGTAAAATCGTGCCATAGGTGAAGTGTCAGATATCCTCAAAATCTACAGGTATAATCAAAATGGTTGGCAACTACATTGAAATATTAAGCTCCTTGGGAAAGGATAAGGATTTTTAAATGCAATTTTGGAACAGGGGGCCATACATAGTATCTGTATTTGGATGCTTCAATGTAGATAAGGCGGTTTATACAGTCGTGGTATTGGATGAGAGCCGATAAAATGCATATATGTATCTATACAATTGAAAAATGTATACATATATATATAAATATATATACTACAACTGTGAATACTCGGAGTTATATCTTACAACGTTCTTAAATATTGTAATATGGTATACTATAAGTAAATATCTATATATCCTTTCATATTTCTAAGCAATTAAAAGCATTATAGACACAAATATTTTTTACCCGGATTTCACATATTTAAAGTGTAATCTGAACATGTAAGTGATTCAACGAAAGAGCGCGCATTTAGACCATACATTGAGCGCAAGACACTTGTCGCGGATCTCTTTTCGTTTGTTCTTGATGATAGATGGTTTGAACCAATCTGACGCATCCATTGGTATTTTGGTGCATTTCAACGGATTGACAATCTGCGACTCGACAAACTGCAGCAGAAACAACCCGCAATCTACCGAATTCGCCTGCTGTGGGACCTGCAAGTCGCAAAAATGTAGAATATCCAAAAAGTAATGCGATATCAGTACAATATACATATACATATATGGATATACACATATATATATATATATATATA